ACACACACACACACACACACACACACACACACACACACACACACACACACACACACACACACACACAAAAAAGTTAATCTTTTGATCCTCATCCCGATGCTGTTTTGACTTTCATTTAATTTTGCATCCTAACCCCGACCCTTAGCCTAAATCAAGGGTTGACTAAATGAACATGAAATGAAAGAGATTTAAATTAAAACCACAATAAATTAGTTGTTTAAGCGTTATATCTAAGATTTTTCTGAATAAGAGGCCATCAAGTGGCCGCAATATTCACAGAGGGCCAAGTATTTGTTCAACATCCTTGCACACAAATCCCCGGTTTTGAATGTGTACATTTAACCAGTCACACATGTTCAAACACTTGTAATTAAGCATGCACAGTAAATTCTCCTTACCATTTTTACATGTATTTTTACTGTACATAGATAAAATACTCTCAAACACACAACGTGTGAAAATCCATCCATTGTTTGTTGTCTGAAAGACCTTTTCTGCAGAAAATCTTAAGAGAAGACTTCTGTAAGCCGGATTCATGCAGGACTTTCCTATTTAACTCATAATCACCATTAGTGTTTGGACARTGAACTGCACCAGCATCATTGTTCTCAGACAAAGGACAGGTGAATGATAGGACAGGCCCTTCGGGGGGGTCAAACAGATATCACCTGAGACCAGTGCCCCCTGTGGCCTCACCTCAGAACCACCCCTAATTTTCTGCTGTTTTTCAATTATGTAAATATGGTAAATGGACTGTAGTAGCTTGTAGCTTGTTAGCCTGTCAGTCTCTTATTGATCAGTTTGAGGTAGTAGCTTGTAGCTTGTTAGCCTGTTAATCTCTTATTGATCAGTTTCAGGTAGTAGCTTGTTAGCCTGTCAGTCTCTTATTGATCAGTTTGAGGTAGTAGCTTGTAGCTTGTTAGCCTGTCAGTCTCTTTATTGATCAGTTTGAGGTAGTAGCTTGTAGCTTGTTAGCCTGTCAGTCTCTTTATTGATCAGCTTGAGGTAGTAGCTTGTTAGCCTGTCAGTCTCTTTATTGATAGTTCGAGGTAGTAGCTTGTAGCTTGTTAGCCTGTCAGTCTCTTTATTGATCAGTTTGAGGTAGTAGCTTGTAGCTTGTTAGCCTGTCAGCCTCTTATTGATCAGTTTGAGGTAGTAGCTTGTAGCTTGTTAGCCTGTCAGTCTCTTATTGATCAGTTTGAGGTAGTAGCTTGTTAGCCTGTTAATCTCTTATTGATCAGTTTGAGGTAGTAGCTTGTTAGCCTGTTAATCTCTTATTGATCAGTTTCAGGTAGTAGCTTGTAGCTTGTTAGCCTGTCAGTCTCTTATTGATCAGTTTGAGGTAGTAGCTTGTTAGCTGTTAATCTCTTATTGATCAGTTTGAGGTAGTAGCTTGTTAGCCTGTCAGTCTCTTTATTGATCAGTTTCAGGTAGTAGCTTGTAGCTTGTTAGCCTGTCAGTCTCTTTATTGATCAGTTTCAGGTAGTAGCTTGTAGCTTGTTATGCCAAATACACCAAACAGCAGTTAGAAAGATCCAAGATGTACTTGCTGAACTCTCTCCTCTCTGCTACCTGTCTCGGATGAATTTACATGCTCGTGTCTTAAACTTACAGATGCAGGAGGACCACAGCTACCAGGGTCCACTCAGGAGTTCTGTGGATGATGTTTGTGTTGGTGAATCTGAGGAGAGAAACCAGGGTCAGAGTTCATCAAAGATAAGCAACAGTGACKAAGACAATTTGATCTAATTCATGTTATGATGAGTAGCCTTGTTTAGTTGTTTTGATTCAAGCTCAGAATAKAAGATGTTGTCTTTGTTTTGTGTTTGCTGAGGTCGATCAGCTGTGGTTGCCATTTTGAATCAGTCCTAGTTTTAATAAAATCTATGCAGTGGTTCATCAGATGTTTTTCTATCAAATCAACACAGGGACAGTCACAAACATTATTGCCTACATTTTGTTGTCAGGGGATAAAAGTAGGAAATCAAGACTGGGCTAACCACTGAAGGCTGCAGCAGAGATGTATGTCTTTCTGACAGCTTTGTGATTGTTCTTTGGTTTAAGCCTGCTGTCAGCGAGCTCAGAGAATTCCTGGAAGCAGGACTCAGAAGCCGTTACGCTGATACGCCGTGTGTTTGTAAAAAACACACACACACTGATTTAGTACCAGGCTTGTTGAAAACACACAACCAGCCAAAGACAACAGTCTAAAGCAGGGAATGTTTTGATGCTGGCACAGGTTTTTGACATCTTGATGTGTTTTAATATTCAAATCTCTGATCGGTTCAATAATTTTAGCTACTTCTACTTCCTTACTGAACAGACTGTGTTCCATTATTGAGAAGAATAATCTGTTAATATTGTCAGTAATGAATCAGTGATGCCTCGAGTAGTTTGAATTATTTTTCTTTTAATTTCTACAGTCAGGAAAACGACTCTAAAAACCTGTCCAGAACTAACACAACGTAAATTTAGAGGTATTAAAGATCTGAAAGTTTCAAATGCTTGAGTTTGGTCTCTTCTGGCTGCCCATTAAACAAACCTAATTCAAGATGGCCACCACATCTTATTAACCCTAATTACTAGTGTTCCAATTCTATTTTTACAAGTATTCGTACAAAATGCCCAGATACCAACGCCAGTATTGATTCTCCACTCAGTGTACAGTTTACATTTCAAATGAAGTTTGTCTGGCTCATGTTTAAGAAATGTATGCAAACTGAAATAAAACCATTTTAAAATGCTGCAACAGTACAAATCATGCTGTATATTTGATTTGATCCAGAGGGGCTGTAGGTCTATCCACAGGTTTCTGTTAAAGCATATGCAGCTTGACAGACCACCACTTCTGCACCCCCCGGATTCATATTTCCTGTACGCAAAGTGAGAACCAGAGATTCGTTCATTCAGAGTCATTCATTGCGTATAATAACAACAAAACCAGTTTGTTTTTGCTTTAACTGGCAGCTTGAGCAGTTCAAGAACGAGTTCCGGTTCAACTTGTGGTTTTTATCGGCTTCCACAACAATTCAAGAAAATGGAAAAACGCTTTAGAAACATTTTGCCTGGAAGAAGAAGTAGAAAAGCCATGTTCATGCAGCACCCTCTGCACTGCACTTTATGCCAACGAAGGAATAGAATAGAATAGAAACTGGCTTATTATCCTGCGGAGGGGAAATTTAGGCGTAACAGCAGCAGAAAAACAAAACAAAAACAATATGTTGCTATGCACCAATAACAGTAGTGGTAGTGGTAAAAGAATAGAAATAACAACAAAAATGTAAAATAAAAAATAAACAAAATACTGTACATGGCAATAAATTAAAATATGATACTGTGCAGGTAAATAAATTATAATGAGGTGTGAAGATTGAGTCAAATTAAGTCATTTCCAGCAGTGTGTATAATGTACATGTGCAATAAATTTTGTACCGTATTTCCCAGACTATAAGTCACACTTTTTTTCATTGTTTGACTCGTCCTGCGAATTATACACCGGAGGGCGCCATAGAATTGTGAATGTTTTTTTTTTGTGCTAGTTTAAATAACGAAGCATTAATCAATATAAAGGAAACTGAGAAAGACTGGACTGGATGGATCGACAAAGCGTGGACTTCTGTGCCAGTTGAAACCATCCTGTCAGGATTCAGAAAGGCTGGAATAACAGGAACTGAAGCTGAGTCTGATGACAGCCCTGCAGAAGACGAGATGACGGCAGCACTTCCTCTTCCTCTGCAGTTGGRGGAGTTGTTCAGAAGCGACACAGAGGATGAAAACTTTAATGGATCCAGTGATGTGGAGTGAGATCGGTGAAGCTGTGGTGAACTGTAATTTGCTTTTTGGACTGGCTGTTTGTTACATAATGTTAATAAAGCCTGGACATTATAAAATACATTTCTAAATACATGCGACTTATCTGTGTTTTTTTCCTCTTCATGACACATATTTTTARCTTTGCGACTTATACTCTGAAGCAATTTATAGTCCAGAAAATACGYCAAATGGCAGAAATTTGTTACTTTGCTAACAAGCATGAATACTTATTGAGTTTGTTGGGAGCAGTGCTGGTTACAGAGTTAAAAGCTGCTGGGAGGAAGGATCTGCAGTAACGCTCCTTTGAGCATTTAGAAGGATCATAAACTAACGTGGCTGGCAGCTTTAAAACTCAAAACCCACCAAGGAGAGTTTGTTTGCTTTATCTATTTTTGCCTACAGAGCTACACCCTGATCCAGAGCTCTATCTGGGCTCAAACTGGTGGCTAGTCCGGACCACTGAGAGTCAGACAGCTTCCAGCAATATCAACTAAAACCTTGAATCTGAGCCTGGTGACTGAATCTATAAATGTGGTGTTTCACTATTTAATCATGCAGTTCTTTGCTTTTACTAAATTTAAACCTAAGGTGAATGGTGTTAGCGTTAGCATTAGCTGTAGTGTTAGCCTGATGCTAGCATGTTATCAGCAGCTACGTCTCAGTTTTAAAGAAATATTATGTCTATGGTTTGTAGCCACATGCTGGAAAAACTATATAAATGTCTTAATGTAACTGTCTCAATTCTGAGTAAGTTCAGAATAATAAACAATCCTCTTCTCAGATACAGGCTAAAATACTTTATCTACATGGCAGAATTAAACGATGGGTTGATTAGCCCCCAGGGGCTATAAAAGTTTCTTTTTTATTAGAAAAATACGCTAACGGAGTTATTAGCGGCAGTTTATTTATTTTTGTTTATCATTTATTTCAAATGATTGCAGCTGTATGAAACCCTCCAGTTCAACTCTAAAGGTTACAAGCAAACTAGCAGCCAGTGAATTTTATGTTTAGAATAGGAAGGAAAAACGTCTATTCACAATACTTCTATAAAATTATTACAATTCTGAGGGGCTTATGAACATTTTACTTCCTGAACTGTTGACATTTATGATTTTGCATGTGTCTCTTCGGGGAAAGACGAGGTAGTTGATGTTATGGCTGCCAAGATTAGTCAATTAATCGACGACTAATCAATTATTAAAATAGTCTATGACTAAATTAATAATCTATTAATCGTTTTTTTATTTTATTTTTAATTTTTTTGTTCTTTACTTTGTTTTTCTCTCCAAACTGCTTTGACACCTTCCACTGCCACATCTGCCTTTCTGTCCTTGACACACATGCACAGTAGTGGTAACTGGGGTAGGCCGTGGACGTCACAAGACATTATACAGACAGGCTCTGGTATCATGGCTACCTGACAACAGAGCTCAAAGTGTGGGATCATTTTAAGAAAATGAAAGAGAAACCTGTGTAATATCTGCAGAGCAGAACTTACCTTCCACAGCAATTATTTTTAGTTAGCATATAGCTAAAATCTAACGATAATAATAGCAGCTGCATTCTGGCACGATAAGCTCTATGTTTTATATTCAATTAAAGTATGATCCGATTAGTCGACTAATCGAAAAAAATAATCGGTCATTAATTGACTATAAAAATAATTGTTTGTGGCAGCCCTAGTTGATGTCAGTAGTAGCTATTAGCTAACATCGGGACATAGCTTCATGTTATGTTATGTGAACAGTGGAGGGTGAGACACAAAGAATTGTCCTCACTGCTTTTAAAACATCCTTACAGTATATACACCTCCGATATGTGGACATCTACAAGGGAAGTCCCGATCCAGATTTTTTGGCTCCCGATACGATCCGATTTTTTTAATGATTAGTGTTTCTGATACCGAACCGATAGCTTTATTTCTTTCCAAGTGACAAGGTTGGTAGTATTAAGCGAGCCCTGCTGTTCCCACTACAAGAAACATCCAGTTTGCAGATTTTGCAAGATGCATTTTCAGCATCATTGTTTTCCATTGAAAAGTGTTCCCACACTGTGGACATGGTTGCATACTTGTGTGTGTCTTGACTTCTTAACAACAGCTGTAAAGCACGATGATGCTGAAAACTGTCGTGAAAACTGGATCGGCCCGATTACATGACTAAATCAGATTCAACCCGATTTTCAAAAAATGGTCTTATCTGCCACCGATACCGATACTGAGTATCTGATGGAGACATCGCATCTACGCCAAACTTCAGTTAAAAATACTTTGATAAACAACGACGGTGTATCCCTGTAATTGTAAACAACAGCCACGTGGAAATATAAACTGACTTCCACCATGAATGAGTACCACCTCAGATAGTACTACAGCCTTCAAGTATCACCACTCTATTTATGTCTGATATAAACACACTGGTCTAACCTCTGGTTCTGGTTGATGTGTGTGGATTAACATGCGACTGATTCATTTGGTTACTAAGAACACCACCACAAACACCTAGTTTCCCACTTCTTATAGCTCAGCTTTTCCAAGAGGCGTTATGTCTAAAATATTTTTCTCCTTCTTGTAAATAGTTTTTTGAACAGCTTCAGTGTGAATAAACTGAGTTTAACTATTGGCTAGTCGGAGTGCAGCTAAGACCAGAGTGACTGCAGCTGTACTGCTGTCATCACAAAGTGGACAAATGAAGTTTGTGAGGAACAGTGGTGCAGCTTCATGGTCTTACACCTCATGACATAATGAGTCTTTAATGATGTGATTGACAGCAGAAGTATTTTCTCACACATTATTAGTCAAACTGGAGATTCTCTTCTCATCTTTTCTTCTCAAAGATTCAGCATTTCATACAGATGTTTTGGTCCTGAACAAATGTTTCTAAGCACCTGTTTGAATACCAGCTGCCTTTTGTGTTATTATGCATTTTCCAGGCACATGGTTCAGTTCTACACCACAATGTTACCTTCAGTTATAATGAAAATGCTGTTTATATAAAAAATAAATGTGACTTTTCATCATAGTCTATCAAAACACATTGAAAGTGACCTCTGTCTATTTAAGAACCTCCTACTGTTTCAGCCACTCCCACTTCAGCARGTCTTCACAACAATGCTTCAGGGGAGGGGTGCTCTGTTGGGAGGAGCTCGGCTGCAGACTGAGCTCCACGTAGGAGCTTTGTGTAAATGGGCGGAGCTTTGTACCAGAAAGTGTTTAGTCAGCTCCACATGGCTACAGGAGAGTCAAGGATTTCTCAAACATTCATGAATGAGTCAAAGCAACACTCTGGGTGTGTTTTTGATGAGGGAATGACATTATGATATAAAGCTCAAAAAGGTCGTTTTAGCAGAATAACCCCCCTTTATGTCCCCAAGTTGAATATCTTTTGGACCAAAATAACAATTCAAACAAGACGATTTGCATTTCTTGTGAAAATGCAGTGTGAATGCTTAATTTGAAAGGATTTATGTTGAATAGCTAACTAGCCTACAAATAGATAAAAAAATCACTGAAATAGCTGAAATTAGCACAAAGCAATATTTGTTTGTTTGTTTATGTATTAGGATCCACATTAGTGTCCACCTACGTGTTTCTAATCTTCCTGTGGAACAACAGACAGAGCATGTTTGTTGAATTAAGCAGAAAGAGACTGAAATTATCACAAAAAGTGAATGTAGCAAATAAATAAATAAATAAATAAATAAATAAATAAATAAATAAATAAAAGCTCAAATTAGCTAAAAATACAGAAAACAGGTGAAATTTGCAGAAAACAGTTAAAGAAGCATAAAAAGCACAGGAACAGCCAAAAGAAGTTACAGGAAGTACAAAAAGGTTGAAATGAGCAGAATAATAGCAGAAAAAATCAGACCACAACAATCACAGGGAGGTCATGTGTGGCAGTTTGTGTGTGATTTTCTGACCTGAAGGTCCGAACCAGATTGTTCAGGTCAGTGGAGATTTCACCTAAAGTGAGGCCCAGTGGACCCACAATGCTGCTGAGACTGCACACAAGAACAGATGACAGATACAAATTCAGTTTTCAGCATTTTCCCACATCAGTACAGGAGCTTGAGTGCTCACAAAAACAAACAAACAAACAAACAAACAAACAAACAAACAAACAAACAAACAAACAAACAAACAAGTTAGGTACCCAGTAGGAACAGTTCAGTTCAGACATAATTTGGTCCACATGCAGTAAATGAATTGATATAAGGAGCTGGCACATCTAGATGAGGCATTGCAAATGGAGTGAAAGTGTTATCAGGCAAGTACCTGAGCTGTAACATTTCTGGGATCAGCTCGGATGTTGACGATGTCCTTTAATTTCTACAAGGTGGCTAACTTTTCTTGTCAGTGTGTCACATAACCATCATTTTGACACAAAATCTTGTTTTAAATGCACGTTTAGTGTTAAACACTGGGTTAGGAACATCAACTTAAAGGTTAATTGTTGGAAAAATATGAAACAGTTTAACGTGTAACCATATAATTTGTTGATCTAGAAATATTTGATGTTTTTGTTTTGTTTTGTTAACTGAAGATTATTATTGTTTGAATTTATACTTGAGGAAAAAAGGGGGAGATATTATAAGATTTTTTTCCGCTCTCTGCTGCCTTTCATTTCATTGTATTTGTATTTTTTTTATTTTGTACACAGAATTAATTTTGAAATGAATAAAGTTTTTTAAGTAAAATAAAACATAAATAAAACTTCTGTAAAACTTTCTGTTTTACAGCTTTAAGTTAAGTAACTGTAACTAAACAGAGTTTCTTCTACGTGTCCATAAGCAGTGGTGGGCAGTGCTAATTCAAAAATTAGCTCCGCAATTTCAAAAGCGCTTATGCCATAGAAAAACTAGCAGAAGCTAATTTTAAAGCACAAGTTCAATTTGACACTTACTAGCTGGCAACAATTCATGTACAATATATGCACAACACTGCCAACAAACACCTTAATTCTACAACTGCCGATTGCTGGGGATGTGATTTCCTGAAACAGACCTTTAGCTC